ATAGTAGGTAAGTTATCAGGACATGGCCTGTCAAGGTGGTAAGCTCGGTTGGTATAGCTATCAAGCTTACGTGAAAGCAAAGATATTAATAACATATCCCATTCCTCAACAGGTTGGCCACAATTTTTTAAAGCATGAAGTTGTTGACGCACATCTGAGATAAAAGACCTAATACTTGCCGCTGTCCCCTTTTGCATTTGGGGCATATCCAAAAGAAGATTGACATGGTTTGCAATAATTCTAACTTTATTATCATATCTTTGTTGTAACAATTTAACCGCTTCGGGATATGATTCGTTAACGAGAGGCAAGTTTATAACAACTGCCAACGCATCACCTTGCAAGTATTTCCTTAGATAAAACATTTTTTGAACATTGGATAATGATTGATTATTGTCAATAACTGCTTTGAATAAATCCATAAAGGGTTTAAATTGAGTAAAATCTCTACCATCAAATGTTGACAACTCAATATTAGGCAATTTACTATTTGACTGACTTTCTGAAACTAACTCTGATTTAAGTTTAACTATGGCAGCATTGATTTTACTAAGAATATTAAAGTATTTGTCTTCGACCAATTCCTGGTCTTCTTCATCACTTTCGTCTAAACATGATATATCTATGCATACACCCTCATACTCCTTGTAGGTGGTGATGAGTTTGTCCCTGCGCGCTTCCAGCANATTGGGCCATTCAACATCAAGTCATTCACTGAGACACCATTTTTAGTTTTAACATTACCTCCAAACACAACTCTCAACTTTGTTGTTTTGCTATCTTCGTTGTGAACTGCATGATGAGCAAGAAAGTAAACGGGATCATCATAGACATTGTATTGACTAATGTCAACTTCCCTGGCATGACCTAGCTTCACAAATTCGTCAATGAACTGTTTATATTTTACAAAATATTCATGATTTGTAGCAAATTTTTTCTCTAGGGCATGAAATCTTTGCAAGGCAAGTGAAAAGGAATCTCCTATATCTAATTCTTCCAAAGGAAATTTTAATGGAATGTCAACATAGAAATGGTTATTTTCTAATTTTACAGAGTTTTTAAAGCATGCCTCCGCCTGCATAAATTCACAATTTTGACTATTATTTTCCTCTGGTACCTTTTCTGAAAGCCAAAAGTTTTTCATTATATTTTCTAACCTATCATTGCAGTTGTCATCCTGAATAATAAAGTTTGACACTAGGTTGACATTGGCTGTATGTAATTTGGTGCTCTCAACTGTACCAGAGACCACATGACCAAATATAGTGTTTTGCAGAACAAGACCATTTTCTAATTTAATTATGCCATCGAGGATAATTTTAGAATAAACATCTACTCCTAATAACAGACATATCTCAGATGGTTTATTGAACTCATCATCTGCTAATTGTATATGAGGAGGAATTTGACATTTTTTGAAATAATTTTGTGGCAAATTAGCAGTTATTGCATCCACAATATGACATTTAATTGATAATTTTACATCTTGTATTGAAGATTTGATAAGTAGGTTAGTATACTCATGAACTTTGTTTGGTGTATTGCCCAAACCAGTGATATTAAAATCTTGAGCCATAGGGGTCAAGTTCAATTGCTTTGCTAGTGAGCGCTTTATAATAGATACTTGACTGCCACAATCTAGAAGTGCCTTTGCAAAGGTTTCCTGCCCGAGATTGTCAACAACTTTCACTTTTAATGTAGGCAAGAGTATTTGTTTTTCATTCAAAGATAAGTTGGAATGCAAAGTAATTACATCTCCCTTTGGTTTCCCTTCATGCAAAAGAGTATTGTGGCTATTTTTACAAACCCTACATTTAAAGTTGTATTTGCATTTTTCTGAATGAACTCCAAGACATATTGTGCACAAGTTGTTATCAGATACAAATTTTTTACGGTCAGCTACTGGTGCCATTTTAAATTTAGGACATGCATAAATGGGATGAACATTACTACAAAAGAAACAATTTTTCACAGTTTTGTTATTTGAATTTGTGGCAACATTGGAAACTTTATATTGATTAAAGTTAGATTTAGTTTTTCCTTCATATGAAGTATTTTTTATAGGTAAACTGTCTTCAAGACCTATTGCTCTTTTTTCTAAAAATGATAAAAATTCATCCATAGTAGGNACACACCATTAGCACAAGATCCATTAGTACAAATTTTGTACTACAAAAGACGTCGTTGTACGTATAGCGAGCGTCATAGAATTTTCACACGTGTCCCTTTTTATTATACTTAACATTTCATGCTTATAACTAAACTCATAGATTCTCGAAAAGCACTCAACTTAAAATAGATTTTCAGGGATTATTCGGAAGGTAGCAACAATTGATTACTTACATTAAGGGTCAATAGCCAGACAGGAGCCGGGTGCTTTGTCCTCCAGGCGGCACGGCTGGACGTTTACCCCAGAACATTTGCTATGCACTTTCCAGTTTTCCACAACCCACTACAAGTTCTTGTCATAAGCAAGATGGTGAAATATTAAAAATGACAAACGTAAAATACGTATTGTTGTGAATCTGATTGCAGTGTATAAGATTACATAATACTTTGCGTATGTGCATAACATACCTGCAGTTACATAGGTATTTGAAACCTGTTAACGAGACGTATTGTATTGTAGTGCTGTCTACCTAACTTACATAACTTCGTAGATCAGCCCATGTTATAGCGACCAAGTTTTAAAATTTCTTAAGAAATCTTACAATTCGTTTATAAATCACGAAAACATTGTATTCGTGCTTTGCATGCGGGTTGACGTTACTTCAAACCACCAAGCATTGGCGTATCTAGGGTTCTTTTTCAGAGGGGGGCTGGGTGCGATTAGTGGTATTAACATTAAGGCATATGAGTTAGCACTGTTAACTGTCATCTTCAAATCGGTAGCCCAACATCCTGGCGGGGGGGGGAGGCGAGATCCTCGCCACAGGGTCTTAGGCTCTAAGACCCTAAGACTTAAGGTCATAAAGTAGGTATGTAGACTTGCTATTTCTAACATTTTCTTGGGTGGGCCGTGAGCTATATGTATACGCGCATGTTTAACCACATAGGTTTTCCAATCTGAACTAATCGTAAAGATAGACAGGCTTGTATAAATTGTGCGATTTGGTATGCTATTTGAAATGTCTTCTAAAATAACGTTTCAGGAACAACTTTACTCACACACAAAAGACATGCTGTTGATAAATAAATGTCCATTGTCGATCGAGCGGTCACCCATCTAGTTAGTTGGCGTCGCACCGGACGTAGCTTAAGTGCTTGATATAACCATACGTAACATGGTTTTATCCCACCCACGTAAACTTAATAATTTATTATGAATTAGGTAAGTTTAGTGTAAAAGGTGAGTCAACATTCAAAACCAGGAAAAAAGTACTATTCCAAGATACAAGCGTACGAGAATTATTGTAAGGACCTAACTCATGGAGCTTTTAGGTTTACAGCTAATGAATCAATCTTTGGTTTAAAATTTGTAACGTAACTAGTATTTATTGTTGTGACGATTTCTAATTACCATGCTAATGTGGGGCAAGTTCTAATAAGCTGCCACCGATAACCAAAGCAATTTATCGGTGGGTAAGTACTGTTATAACTAATTGCCCACTTATTGTACCTGTATGGCCTACAGTCCTACACTCATAGATATCGCTATCAATAAAATGCTGACGTAAATATATATTACTCATTTCTTTGAAAAGTGATCTGATTCATTAAATAAATAAGTGGTCCAGTACTTTTCATTGAATACGAATGGTCCTCTCTTCCGGATACGTATCTCATGGGACATCTCAACATAAAAATAAAACAGCAGTTGGCCTCGCGCTAAGATATCAGGATTTTTCATTTACCTTGTATTTATATAATAATTATTAAAACAAGGTTAAATGAACTAACTCATTGAGAGACTGATGCTGTTTTCACTTCCATTTACTTCAATAATCATTTCCTGAGGATGATTTGCGCGTGTTATTAAATCCACCGTACATAGCTGAGTAAGTAATATTACCCCTCGTACAGTGCTACTGAGAATTCAACTGTGGAGTCGTGTCGTGTAATGGAATCATCATAATTAAGACAACAATGGATTCACTGGACACTGCACACAGCGTGCACCACGCCCTAGCAGGGAATCCCACCCAAAAAGTCCAACAAATAAAAAATGGTTGCCTATCTTGCTTAAACGCCTATCGTTATCAAAACCTAAAAATGTAGGTACTCGTACAACTCATTATCATTATGATGACATCATTAATAAATGTAATGTTAGTACATTTATTAATTGAAACTAGCTTTCCGCCCGCGGCTTCGCCCGCGTGGAATTTTGTCTGTCACAGAAAAACTTTATCGCGCGCGTCCCTGTTTCAAAAACCGGGATAAAAACTATCCTATGTTCTTTCCCGGGACTCAAACTATCTCTATGCCAAATTTCATCAAAATCGGTTGCGAGGTTTAAGCGGGAAAGCGTAACAGACAGACCGACAGACAGAGTTACTTTCGCATTTATAATATTAGTTGGGATTTAGTAACATAACATTAAAATATTTTCGGTTTCCTCACCAATGTTAAAACATTATCCTAATGTTAGGAAGATCACTTACGATTTGAAATATTGTGTCTTTCAGTCTGAGCCTGAGCTTCAAATTATTAAGATTTTTACTACCCAATTTTCCGGAAAAACATTTCCGTGCCGATAGGCATAAACGACTATTTTGAGTGTTAAAATTAGAACGCCGAGACACATTTTCATCCGTATTCTTGAATGTTACAGTCCAACCGGCTTTAATTGAGCTTATTGTTCTAAATAAGCGATCTACAAGGATGGATGGAACAAAGCAAATTAATGCTATGTTATTGTCGGAGTCGGAGAAGTGAATGAGTCAGTTTGGCTTGACGGCGAACTCGGTCCCGCTAGTCCGTGGCTCGGAGCGCGCCAGGCGACACGCGAGTTCGTCACTCAGTCGGCTATGCGACGCGGTCGCACTACACGACAAACTTTCACTTTCGACTAAATATAAATAAACAAAACTAAAATAACTCGAGATATCTAAACGAATATTTCTATTTCCTACGCTACACACGTGGCAGTGTTGGTAATGTGTAACTTCAGTTGTGAAACAAAAGTGGTAAAAGTTTTTGTGTCGTTTTTTGTACACGATGCGCCTTGGTTATAATAGTTACGCTACGATTTAAAACATTCATCTGGTGAACGTCTTACGGGTTGCCCAGAGGGCCTATTCAGTGTTCGAAACCGGTCCCTTTAAGAAGTACTGGGGCACCTACCTGCTCTACTTGCTCTAGCTCCGTGGTAATTTTGGTTTATGAAAATAAACAATAATGGGAAAAGATCATGGTAAGTTTTAGCATTATTATTTGTGTAATAGTTTCTTTACAGCAATTACATGAAGTTTCAACAAATTAGACCCGAAGTAGGGAGGGAAAATTAATGTGAAGTAAGTGACAGTTGCTTTTTTTCAGAAAATTAGAAGATTTAATCGTTTCTGTTGTAAGGTAGCTCGTAATAGATGGAAGCACCAGAAATCAGATTCGTCTTTATTTTCATATTACCCGACGGCGCCAGAAGGAGCCTTTTTACCTATTTTTTATTTAATTTAAATTTCTTCCTAATTGAGTAGCAATGAATGAATAGAGAACAATAGTGTCTAGACAAACCTAAAAAGGATTTAGGACGCTATTTGGATCAAATATGTAATTGCTCAATAATGAATAATAAATAAATAAATGACATTTTCCTATAGTGTTATTTCTTGTATTTGACATGAAATGTGCAATTATTAAATGTAGGTAGGAATAATATGTAACTAATTTGTCGTGGAACGAGTTTTCGTAAAAACCTGAGACCTTGTACAGAACGCTCTAGGCAACAATCTGCTTCCCGTTCGGGGAAACGACCTTCACTCACAAAATTGCACCATCCGAAGAGAAAACTTTTCTTTAGGAAACAAAGCCAATTAATATACCTACTCAAAAATCTGCAGTTTCTTTCGTATTTACTACCTTGTTATAGGAGAAAAAAATTTATTAAAGTTGTTTTGGTTACGTGTATCTGCCAAATCTTAGGAGTTAAGTTACTCTAGTAACTGGATAGAACTACTGCAATAAAAATCCTCCTCCCCATTGGGTAAGAAGACCCAGAATAAAATCAGTCATTGTTGCTAAATTAATTTACTATCATAGAAACGAGATGAAAATGAAATCGTAATGAACAGCCGCAAACATTTTAATTATCTGGGAGACGTCTTAAGAGATATCACAAAGTGATAAGCATATAAGTCTGTACAAATAAGTAATAAAATTAAGTACCTACAAATTAATTATTTGTCAACACGTTACGCAGAGCAAAATACTATTTGTTATCGTATGTATAAGCAAGCATATTATGTACCCTAATAAGTATAACGATTTGCCAACTGAATGTTATACCAACTCATAAATATGACACCTAAAATAGCCATGTTTTAACCTATACGAAGGAACATACCTACACATGGCAATTCTCACTGAACCTTAATGTGCGTGTCTGTTATACAAGGTTTTCCCCACTGCATCACGTCCTACTACTTCTGTAAAATAGACTGGCGCCAACTTGAGTCGGACTCGTCAACTCATCAAGATAATAATTAAATTACTAATAATAATTATTATCTTGATGAGTTTTTACACGATGGCTAATCAAAAGTGCAAGACGATGAATTTTTTTTTCCTTCTTTTCTGCAATTTCTTTTATTTTTCATACTTTTAAACTATGTAATTTGTTGCACTTTAATATTTTCTTTAGATGGAAAATATTAAAGTGAAGATAAGAAAAATAACTAGATTGAAAAATATCCTCATTTGTAGAAATGGCATGAGAAAAAGTAATCGCAGGTGGCAATTTTCTAAAAATGCACAAAAACTTAAAAATCTTGAAAACGGTGATATTTTTATTAGGGTTAAAATGTGATGTTAGGGAGACCATGGCGAGGCCTATCGATGGCCGGAGGGTTATCCATTGTTTTAGGACAGCCTGTATATCCGTTTTAAACATTAATTTATTTATCACTCAACAAAAACATGTCGATGTGACTCAAATTGAATAATAATAATAGTATTGTATAGGTATACCTACTTTACTAATTAACTTAGTGATAAATTAGTTTTTGCAGAAATGCTAAATAATTTTTCCATTTTACGCGACCTTATCCTGTTATTGTGGTTTAGTACCTACCCTGATAGGTTTTCAGTCAGTCATGGTATGGTTTGATAAAATTAATAAACATTTTGGTGTTTTTTTATATCTTTTAGTATTAATAACCATAAGTAGTTTTAAGTAACCGAATGTGTGTCCATAGAGTAGTATCACATCACAGAATCTCAAAGTCCCGGTTTCAATATTTTCTGCTCACTTTGGTTAATAGTCTCGTAGGTAGGGCAATATATTTTTTAAGTCCGCCTGGCTAGCTACAACCATTATTGTACCAAATTCTGTAGCCATTGCACCAATGTTTACAGTATTGTAGTTTCGGCAGGGTAAGCCAGATATTTGTGATTAGTTTATCATTAGATAGCCAGTTCCTCTGTATTTCCACCTTCAATTTAATCATAATCAAGAGCGATGCATGCTAAGAACCTCCCAGATTTTTTTTATGAAATGATAAAAAAGTTTATGTAATTGTATCTACCAAATTACCAATGCGTTAAAGGTTACTGGTGTAAGGCCTTAATCCCTTTTCTTCGTCGATTGTAGAGTAGGTACATTTCCTTTCATATCGACTTCGACCCTACATATAAAGAGGATAATCCAGTCGTTAGATCACATTCTAGCCACATGTGACTAATCCAATTTGGTTATGAGGCGTATTTTTGAGAATTCTACGAATTTACACTATAGGATTTTTTATACAATTTCGCATTTGGTATTCAAACGCTTCATGATCTTATCATCATTTCAGCCACAGACATTGCAACATGCGTCCTCCAATGATTTCCAGATAGGCCGATTCGAAATCGCTATCAACCAGTTCCAGCGCTTTCCCGCAGCCTTTATAAGGTTATCACGCTGCACTTGCCAGTATCCTCTATTCCAGAACCTTGCTGCCTATCGGCTTCTGTCAGTCCTGGGTCCTGCCCATTGCCGATTAGGCTATGTCAGCAACTTTAGTTTTAGTTCGTTTACGGATCTCGTCATTTTTATTCGATCTCGTAAAGAAACACCACATAGCCATCTCCATAGTACACTGTAGCGTGTTTCCTCATAAAGCCTTTAATGAGAGGTCAAGTTTCATAGGCATAGGTCATCACTGGGAACAGACATTGGCTTTTTTTTAACCATAAACAAAATTATGGTAGCTCAACGTGGCTCAACTCATTTCCTCTACTCTAAGGCTACTTTTTATAAACTTCGCTTACCTATCGCTCGTCCATGACCTGAATTTGTATTTGGCAAGTTATACTTATTTAAATTCCGGAACATCCTCCAATTCCCACTGGATGCGCGATTACATTTTTAGTGGTGGTCACGCTTTTAAATCATACATTTATTTTATTTTCAATTTATCCAAAATTATCTGACTCGAAACTTCCACTTCAAATGGCTCAGGAAGTTGTATGATGATTATGAATATGACGTTAATCAATTTACACCAAGCTGCGTTACTAAGTACGAGTAACATACATAAGTTAGATTAGGTAAATCTCTCAAAACAACAACATGATGTTCGTAATATTATATCCCAGATTAAATGAAAATTTAATTAATAGATTCCGACTAGCTCTTTAGCTAATATAAATTGGCATTAAAACAATAATTGAAACAATGTTAAATTACTCTCAGTCGGAATTCTATCTGTGGCTAGTGATGCGAATAAAACTATCATTGGTTCCAAAGTGAAAGACACTGAGACAGTGTTTCTGTTTAAGTACGAGTATAACATGTATTGCAGTTCCAAGATTGCGAAAATTATTAGCGCGAACTTATAAATATTGATTCATTCGTTAATTGGTTCGCACCTATAACATACTTTACATAACGGCAAGGTTTCTAATGATTTACTTATTTACATTTTAAACGTTTCTTAGTTATTGAAGTCTATCGTTTAATTTAATCTAGCTCGGGTCAGTGTTTGCGTTTAACTCAAATGTTACATCACCCGGTCACACTATTTTGAGTTCTGACATTGACGGACACGTATGAGTTCACTTATTCAGTCAGCTTTGCTTTTGTTAAAAACACATGCGATAAATAAACAAGTTTGAAAATGCACGTGGGTTGTTAGCGCATTGCCCTGCATTGACAAACAACGACCAACAACAAAGGTACATAAGTATCATAATGTTGTTTACATGTATTTTATTATCCTTGATATCATATCTACCATTGCTGTAAACTATCGATTTGCATAAAATATGAACGGCAAACAAACATAACAAGTAGGTACTGCACTTTTGCAATTCGACGATATGTGGCTAACTAGCTGGCATCTGTAGATTTATTGATTGCAAAACTAGGTCTATCTGTTCGGTAATAAAGTAGATGTGGGCTGTAAGATCGGCACATGTTTATTCGCGGACGCGTCCACCGCAGTACATCCGCGCGGACGCAAATAATGCTACCGTCATCACCTCCATTCTCACTATTGACATAAAGGCATGTTCACCGCCAATAGATATTTACGATTATCGGCTTTGGAATTAGAAAAACCCGAGCAATTTATGAGCAATAAAGGATTACTAAAGCAATACATAATATTATCAGCAGTGCCTATTTGAATTGTACCAATTAACATAATAAAACATTTTATATCTTCAGATCAATAGATATGTTTAAGATACAAAATAAAATTGATCGTCCATATCTAGATTATTAATTAAAAAGTGCGGATGAAACACTTAACGCACGGTCCAGTTGCTGGAAGAAAAAAATATTTAAAAATTCAAACCAGCTACTTGGCCCGTGGACCAAGCTAAAAGTGGGCTAAAATACTTTGAAATTGCGGACATTTTCTTACTTCATTTTTTGACGCAGGAAAATTATTTTTCAGTGTAGAGCCATATAAGAACCTAAGTGTTCACGGTTGATACTGAATACATGCAAAGAAATGGTCAAACTATACATCTTAAAATGCTTCTTGAAGCATTACATTAAGATTTGTGCGAGTTTGTATGCAAATTACAATTTAAATATAGTTCAAGGACATGCCACTGACTACGATCTAATTAACACAATGTTGATGGAAATCTAATGAACAGAATTTAATACAGTTATAAAAAATATAAAATTAAACTTCACTTGTGCTTAATCAATATAGCACATTAAAACTTAAGTATCTATTTGTAGAACTAATTCGTAATTTG